CTTGAGCGCAGCAGCCTCCGGATTCCGCAGAATCAGCTCCCAGATGGCATTGGAGACGTGGCCTGTCTGGGTGGTCTGGCTGAATCTGAACCTGGGCACCTTCTGGTCCACGATGGAGACGTCCCGCAACGGGGCCGAGGGCTCCACCCGGCGGTAGTACTCCAGCCGCTCCTTCACCCAGCGGTTGTAGAGGCCCTCCGGCGGCTCGTCCAACACCAGCTGCAAGATGGCCTTGCCGGCCCGGATCTGGAGGAGGCGGGTGCCCCCTCCCCCGGCACGCCAGTACCCCTTACAATACTTGCACATGTAGCCCCCCCGGGTCTCCCCTTTTGTCTTCGGGATGAGTTCCCACGGGGTGACGGAGCTCAGGACCAGGCCACACTCCATGTGCGCCCAGAAGACATGCTTCATCTCCACCGGATAGTTCTTCTTCCGGTAGTCCTTACCCACCACGCCGTGGACGTTGTCCGCCGTGATGGGGGGGTAAACGATCCCCTCATCGCCCTCGCCTCCCCTGGGGCGGATGTCAGGGCCATCGGCACCTGTCCGGCACCCAGGGGCGGAGGGGTCCAGGCCCATCAGCTTGATCATGTCGTTGGTGTAGCCGAGCTTGCGGTAGATGGAGGGGGCCACTGAGTCGGGGACTGCGCCGACCCACCACTGCTTCGTGTTGCAGCGCCAGTTGACCTTCACCTCCGCCAGGGCCCCCGGGCCTCCAATGCGGTCCATGAGGGCCTTGTACACCTCTGGGAACTGCTGGAGGCTCTCCACCGGGACCGAGATGCGCTCGTCGCATACCGCCCGCAGGATCATCTGCTCCTTGGAGTCCGCCACGTCCTGGACCGGGAGCTGCATCACCTCCGCCGGGGTGTCCGTGAGGAAGGCCCGGGCCGCGAGGACCTTGCCCATGGCCCGGTAGACCAATCGCCACTCCGGTCCTGTCTGCGGAAACGGAAGGCCCTCCTCCTTCAGGAAGCACCGCGCGTCCTCCTTCAGGGTCTCCCAGCCCTCCAGGCGGGTCTGATTCTGGGCCTTGTTTTTCGGGCCCCGCTGCCTAGGGCCCTGCAGCAGTGGCAGAGACTCCCAGACTCCCCAGAGCTGGCGCAGGGTGTAGCTGTGCCCGAACATCCCCAGTAGGCCTGGGAGTGTCCAGGACGAGATCTGGCGCGTCCAGTGGAAGTCCTCCTCCGGATCGTGGGGGGCAGCCCAAAAGATGGATCGCAGGTCCCCAGGGTAGGGTCGGTCCCCCGCCTTCGCCTGCTGGTTCAACTCATCAACGGAGTACCTGGCCCAGGGGAGTCCACCCACCTGGTGGTTCCTGGGATGCGTACCCTTCTCCAACGCCTCCGGATTCACCTTGGTGAGGTTTTTCGCCCAATCCGGGACGTGTACCGGGCCCGGTCGTCGGACCCAGCGGCCCGCAAAGATACGGACCTCTCCGACCCGTTTGCTCATCATCCAGCGCAGGACCGAGAGCTGCACCTCCGGGTCCTTGGTGTCCAGGCCCACCGGGGTGGCGGACGGCTTGTCAGGGCCCTCGGCACCTGAGCTCGTCACGCCAGAGCCCGAGGCTGGGGGGATGGTGGGCGGCCTGTCAGGGCCCTCGGCACCTGGGCGCGCCGCACCAGAGCCCCCCGCCTTTGGCATGGGGATCCCTGTCAGGTCCGGCAGATCTGACAGGAGGGCCGCCGGGAAGGGATTCCTACCCAGCGAGATGACCGCCTTGGCCTCAAGGTAGGAGTCCGTGAGGGATGTGAGGTCGTCCATACTGAAGTCCCTCCATGCCGTTGTCGGCTCGAAGACCCCAGTCTCAATGGCGACCCGGACCTCACTAGGCCACGCACTGAAGGGAGGCGCGATGGGCTCGAGCATTCTGGTTTCGAGGGAGCCCTTCGCCTGTCTGGCTTGGTGTTTCGCTTTCGCCTCCTCCGCAGTGGTCTGGGCCTGGAGGAGCTCCGGTGTGGGTCTCCCCCAGTCCGCACCCAGCTTGTCCAGCAGCTTCTCACGGAAGAGGTCCAAGTCCAGGTTCTTCAGGAGCAGGCCTCCATCACCTCCTCCGTCAATGGCCCCCCCTTGAAGTTCGTGGAGGACCGCCGCGGAGCGCTCCACCGCTTCCACCTGGTCCGCCTTCTTGGCCTCCTCCTGGGCGATGGTGGTGGCGTTGAGCCGGGTCTGAATCTTGAAGGCCTTCACCGCAGACGGGTGGAAGGCTCTGCATTCCTGGCCCTCTTCCTTGTCGCCTGGCAATGGGGGCCTCTCCCCCGGTGGGGCCGTCATAAACTCCTCGTCCAGCTCCATGGGGCAGTTCCTGATCACCGCCCGGACCGAGGAGGGGACGAAGTCCGAGAAGCTGGCCTGGTCCGGGTTCTCGCAGGCCATCGGGTCGGTGGCCAGCTCGCTGACGTCCACCGAGGCACTGAGCTTGAGGTCGCGGGCCCGGTCCGTGTCAGGGCCTTCGGCACCCGCGGACCGGGCCGCCGTCCAGACCGCATTGCCCTGGTCATCCACCGTCAACTGCCAATGCGTGCCCGCCATCTCCAGGGTGGCCGAGTTGGTCGCCATGTCAATGGGCTCCGTCTTCTTGCCGCACCCCATGCACTTCGTGGCGCCCTTCTTCACCCAGGGCATGGTGCAGCAGGGGCAGATCCAGGATGTGGGCACCTTGCCCAGGGGGCGGTTCTCCAGGCCCCCGTACCCCAAGCCAGCGCGCTTGCCAACCTGCTGTCCCGGGGTGCTGAGCCGGGCCTCATGCTCGTACTTCATCTTGGCGATGTAGAAGGCCTCCACAACGCGCTCCAGGCCCCCCTGCTTGAGTTGGGGGCCCTCAAAGCCTCGCAGGAGCCGCTGGACGTCCTTGGCCTGCAGTCGGCGGAGCCTAGTGGCCGTGGTCGCATCGAAGCAAGGGAAGTCGCCCGCCATCTGGTCGTCGCTGAACTGGTAGAGGCCCTCCGAGACCTTGAGGGCCTTGGTGAACACGCTCCCCCCCGGCGGGGGGGCTGCGGGGTTCTCATCCTCCTCCGAGGACGCCTGCTCCTTGACCTTCGCCATCAGCTCCCGGCGCCTCTGCCACTTGGCGTCTGCCCGGGCATCCAGGCGGGCCTCCTCCAAGCGGGCTGCAGCCGAGGGGACCTGGGCATCGGCAGCTCCTTCTCGTCCTTCGCCAGGAGCTCCTCCATGGGCACGTCCTCCTCCGGCGGGTTCAGGAGCTCCAGGAACGCCCCTGAGGGGCGTGTCAGGGCCTTCGGCACCTGCGCCACCCCAGGGGCTGCATCTTCCATCGGCTCATCCTCTGCCTTGCGCTTGGCCGGGATAAGGGGGGCCTGCTCCAGCTCATCTGCGCTGGAGAAGAAACGCTCGTCAGGTGCCTGAGGGACCTCAGCAGCCAGAATGGTCCATCCTTCTTCCTCCCTCTTCACGAGGTTCGCCAGGTACTTTGCCATGGAGGCCTTTGCCTTAGCCTTGGCCTCTGCTGCCGCGGCACCAGCGTAGGCGGGGGCGTACATGGCTTTGAGAGTAGGGGAAAGAAGGATTTCAAATCACAAGACAAAGGATCAAAAGGTCCACTTGAGCCAAAATGGTGGCCCAAGTGGATACTTATTAAGAGTCAAGACAAGCGACCACCTACGGTTAACGCTTTAGCCCAAAAAGGAGGGGGCGTGGCCAAAGCTCGGCGACGCATGTCTATAATTCAAGCCCTGGTCTTCCTTGAACCGCCAAACGGCGGCATGGGCCTGGCCTCTGTCCATGTCGTATCCCAGCTGGATTGAAGAAGGTCCACTTTGAGACACACCGTGTACCCCTTCACGCCAGCAAGGTGAAAGACAAGCAGCTACCCCATAGGCTGTGCTGCTGGCCAAGTGCCAGCGCAAGCTCAAGAAGACATTTCCCCGACCAAAAATTGATGTGACAACCATCCCCAGTTGGTAAAGTCGCTGCAGCGCTTCCAGTTGGGACCCTCCCATCGGACCCGCAAACTCAGGTGGAAAAACCCCAAACTCGTCTCGCATCCGAAACTGAGGTGTCCCACCTCTTCAGCTACGATAGCCGGTGATAACAGGAATCACCAGATGCAAAACCCGGAAAGCAACCAATCCTTTCGTGTATCGCAATGACCCATCGGGTTTCGAAGCTTTGAAGAACCCCCCGTTCTGGGTCGAGGCCCGGCTTCACGGAAAAAAACCGGCAGGGCTTCATGAGGTGGGGCTGTCTCAAAGCGGGCGCTTTTCAGGAAGCCGAAAGGAACTCAAGCGGCGTTAGATACCCAATCTTGAGAAACACCCAGTGGATTCCCCTGTATACATTCAAATACTCAGCGCTTGAACGCCTCGAAACGACCAGCAGACCCAAAAGTCTAAGATGCTCCGTTCGACCCTTAGCGCATTGTGTGGAACCTTCATGTGTGTCTTTTAACCTTCCCGCAGTACAACTCGTTGCTCGTTTACCTTTGGAGCCTTTCCAAATTCCAGCGCCCCGCGTGACAGCCTCCATGTACGGATATGGCTGTGGTTGTCAAAAAGTAGGGTCACCCCCAAATGGCTTGCCCTGGTTTTCTGGAAAGAAGGACATTGAAACCTGCGGTCCATATCTTGGTGGTTTAAGTTTGATCCATACCCATATGGATTCTGAAGATCTTGAATTTGGTGGCGATGCGGTGTCTCAAAAATCGGGGGACCAAATGGCTGACTTCGCTTTTTTGATTTCCCTTTAAAGCCATCCAAAAAGAGGTTCTGCAGAAAGGCACAGCCATCCAAACCATCCCAACAAATATCAAGGTGCCCTCAAAAAAGACCCACAGACATATGGCTGTGGCTCCAAAAACCGGTACCAAAATGGGTTGCCCTGGTAAGTGGAAACATGGGTACCAAAACCTGCGGTTTGCCCCTCCGATCGTTTTAGTTTTGAGCCACACCCACATGTTAGTCCAGCTCATTTCAAGTTACGTTGCCGACCTTTGCTCTGGACCTCTGCTGATCCAGTCACGTCCCAACCGGGGCCCGGGCCACCCCCCGCAGCCGCAGGATCTGCGTGGACACGCAGCGGAACTCCGCAGACCTCCGCAACGCGCGGCAACACTCCCGAGGTGATTCAACTTGGCGAAGTTCCTGGAGAAAATTGGCTCTTGGATGAGTACATGGGGAAGGGGATAATTTGTGGCACTGTGGGGAACATCAAAGGGAGGGGGGGATTCCATTTTTCCAGTATTGAAAAATGGGTTACCCTAGAATGGAATTCCAGGGCTCACCTCCCTCAATTCCATAAGGGGCGGGGATGGCCCCAAACGCCGAGGGACCGCTTTGGCCGCTACCCTTGTACCCCTGGAGGGTTTTGACACTTTCCTTTGGGAGAAAAAGAAAAAATTAAGCTCAGGTGATATCCCCAACAGCATGCCGTGCTCTTTTTTAGTGCTCGCACCACCCCGCAGCCTTCGCAGAACCTCGCAGAACCTCGTGGAACCTGGTGGAACCCTGGTGGAACCCTGGTGGAATCGTGGAACCTTGCCTCAGGGCCGCCCCGCACCCCGGAGCCTATCTGGGCCTATCGACCCCAAAGCTTTCAGCTGGGGAAAAACTGTCCAGGGTCAGCTGGGCATATGCCATGGCTACGCCTTGGGGCCTCGAGAAAGGAAGGTTCACACACCGTTCTTGGTCACTCTCCTTGGAAAACCCATATGGGGGACCTCGAACCGGGCATACATCATGAGACCAATGCCGAGACCAGTGTTACAACTCCACTTTGAATTCACCGTTCCCCTTTCCATGAACAAAAAAAAAACGATAAATCCCCCAAACATCGGCTTGTAGATTCCTCCAAATGGGAGGAACCCCGTCCTCTTCACCCCAAGCGCTCGCGACTGGGTCGCCCCGCTCCACGTCGGGCTGATCTCCCAGGCTCTCCCCGGCTTGCGTCAGGTCCGCGAACATCAGCTCCACCTCGAGCGAAGCGAACGGCGAAGCGAAAACGTGGGTGTAGGTCATCATTTTTTTTCACCACTAGGTTTTAGTCACGGGTTCCATTTACCAGGGTCCATTTTGGGTACCCATTTTTGACCCACAGCCACGTGAGAAGCGCGAAACAAAGGAGGAGCGCGCAAGGCCAAAAACGAGGCGGGTGGGAAGATGTTATTTCATGGGAAGTAGGGGGGGGAAGATACTATTTGATGGGAAGTTGTTTTTTGGGGGTGGCAGGGAGGGCGGCCTTAGTTTCTTCCAAAAAATAAGGCAAGAACTTTGTTGGGTCGGCGGAGCCTCTGCCGGCCTGTTGGGCGTGTTTCAATGGGGAAGGGGATTTACACCATGTGAGTTTCAACTAGGGACCCGAAACAAGTTCGTGTTCACCACTTTTGAGGTGTTCCCTGGATTCGTAGCCAAAGATTAGATGAAAAGGTTGAGGGAGGTGGACTCCACATGGGATCAAAGGCATTCAAGGGGTAAATAAAAAGCATATAAAACAAATATGCTTGTAGAAAATGGCAAGAAAGGCTATGTTGCGGCTTCAAGCGGTAAATGCGATGGGGAGGTGTCGTTGGGTGGGAAGACAATCTGTTACATAGATATACCAATAAAACTAATATGTAGATATATATATATACATACAACACATATGTGTGACTGATGAAATCACATGTATTCAAGTCAGCATTGGTAACTCGAAGACTTTGAGCTATGGAGACTGACAATTGCTCGTCTATGGCTCCGTTTAGCCTACCTGTGGAAAGAAAAACTGGCTACTTTGATCATTGTCCAAAAGGGGAGTGCATGGAACACGAAGGCCAAGTGAAATCCCACGGAGAAACTCTTGCACAAATCTGGTTTCGTGCAGAGCAACCCTTTTCACAAAAGCGAGGTGTTGCAATCCCAAAAATGGGCCGGGTGTACTTCTGCGGGTGTTCAGGTCTACCGGATTACCATGGCCAGATCAGGAGCTCAGTTCCATGAAATGCCTCACTGGGTTGAGCTCCCAAGAATTACCTGTATTTCACCAACCTGACTTGCTTGCTGGATCGACAATTAGTATGGCCCCAAACTGAACCATCCCTTTGCGCTGTCCTAGTGAATCCCCCATTCATTCCCTTGCTTCTCTGAGAAGCCCGAAGTAAGGAACCTCCACCAGCTCGTTTCTCTCCCATGTGAACTCCTCAAACACCCTTATGCCAAAGCGGGACGTCCACTCCAATGACTTCATCACGTCAAAGAGCGTCCTGAATCCAGAATTACGGACGGCGGCTGTGAAACCCAGTTTGGGTCTCTCTCGGAAAAAATCCGCTCTCGAAATTCATCAGTGGCATCCCTAAAGAAGCGACCACAGTGAGCTCACATATCACGAGCTCGCGGCATTCTTTCACGAGGCAAGCTCGCTCAAACAAGGTGCAAACGGGCGTCTCTTGTTTTTAGGGGACCCCAAAAATGCCGCAGCGGCCTTCCTTTCAGTTTCTCTTTACCACCAGAAAATGGAGCACCAGCTCCGAACAACGGAATCCCGCCTTTACCACCGAAGAAGGAGTGCCAGCTCCAAAAAGAGGAGCCCCAAATAAAAAAAAACTCCTCTGACACAGTCCGAGCGCTCGCGGACGCCTACCGCCCGAGCCCGCCTCTAGCAGTAGAGGATGCCGCCGCTCGAGCCTTCGCGTCCCCTTTTCAACCGTTCACTTGAGCCGTTTGAAAAACGAAAAACAGTCTTCCAAAAAAAGAAGATACCCTCCCACCGGCTAACAGGGAAGTGCACAGACCCCTCTAGAAAGACTACTTTCCTCTTGGAAAGGGCCTTTTTGCACAGTTGGTGGGAGGGTAATTTTTGTTTCCAATAAAATGGTCTTTCAAATACATTTCGGATCTCAGCGGGTGAGACCGGGAGTTCTTTCATCCTGGTCCGTCAACCGGGTGTTAGACAATATCTAATCCTGGGTCAACGTTCACAGGTGCATTTCCCCTGAAGGCGGTCCTGGCAAAGGGTACAACGGAAAATATGTTTGTGGCTGCACGGTTGCCGCAAAAAGCTATGAGAAGTAGTGAGGGACATGCCAAGGATAATTATGGTCATACTGTAGCTGAACTAAGTCATGCACCGCTTGGTAAGTGGCTTGTCCAAGTATTCATGGGAGTTGATCCATCCAAACTGGAAGCGGATTTTGTCCACCCACAGTAGTACCTTAGGTCTTGGCACCCTTGTGACCAACCGAATGTCACAACAGCAGAAGGTGATTTAAACTTTTGCCAGGGCCCCCTTTTTTGCCCGCGCAAACAACCTGGAAACAGTTTCGGGCGTCCTGGTTTCCTCCGTTTCGAACGCGGGTGTCCCTGTGGCTTCGGTTTCTTGTGGCTTCCGGTGCTGTGGTTCCCTCATGCCCGCTCTGAACAGGTCTTGAAACCCAGCTGTGTCACGCCCCGCGCCGTTTTTGGGGGGGAACTGAAGCCCAGCCTTTTGCTTTTGGCACGCCCCTGGAGCCACTCCAAAACCGACAAAGCCAACACGCAAACACGCAGGGGTCTCCAAACCCAGAAAGAGTCCCAGCTGAGGTACTGAACGACCCCTTTGTGCCCAAAAGCCATCAGGTACTTGGACCCGAAAAACGGGCAAGCTTGAGCCCCCAGGCTCGGCCGGGCTCAGCTCCACCCGGAACTGGCCCACGTCCCCGAGCTCCACCTCCCGCCGAAAGCATAGTCGGCAAACCCCAAATGGCCGTGGCTTAAAAAAACCGGGCGCCCGAAAAAGGGGGAAAAAAGAAGAGTTGGTGTCCAAATTGAACCTAACCCCCCCAAAAAGGGAACCCTCAAGAAAAGACAGACATCAGCGAGCCAAGGGCTAGGGGGTCGGTGGTTTTCGGGGCCGCCTTTGCTTGCCTAAAAAATGGACTGTCACGTGTCTGCCTGGGGGGAGGTCACCCGAGAGATCCAAGAACAACCGCCAGGTGGCCCACGGGCCTTTTCGGGGCTCCTATAATCAACACCTCATCTGAAAAGAAAGACCTGCAACGGCCTCACATACTAAGAATCCGGTGGTGGAGTACGTTTAAAAAAAAAGACTCAGTCTTGATGAGAGAAGTAAACGAAATGGTAATTAATTAGCCCTCTAGAAACTCCTGAAACACGAGCAGGTTGTCGTGATTCGCAACGGACAAGGCTTGAACTCTCCCTGCGTGGGGAAACCCAAACGCGGAGTCAAACCTTATCTTTGGTGAGAGCCAACTCAAAAGCCTCCGCCATCATTAATCGCCGACCCCAAAAAACGGCTTCCCGAGCTTGGAGTCAACTATAAGGGTTTGGTTACAGGAAAATCTACAGGACATGACCCCAAAACACCGTACAGCTGTTTTCCTGCAGAATGTCCGGTAACCCAAGCCTTTGATCTCTTTTCGCCTTCCTAACGTAAGGAAAAGCTCAACCTTCCTAACAGACTTTTGTCGCAACCTCCAGGCCCTAGCGGGCACCTGCCCCCCTCCTGCCATGAGCATCCCCTTGAACCATGGGAGTCACAACTCATGTTCACCTGACCTATTTCTCCCATACCAAAGTCCCTTGCTAACCTTCACTACCCAAGGTCTTGAATGTGGCGCATGTCATTTTGGTTGCCAAGGTTGAAAGGGTCCTGCCAATGGTAAAGCACCCCAAAACTGCCGCTGGAAATCGACGTGCTATCAGCATCCTTGTGGGCCCTATGCCCGTCAGTACGTAGGTGTCCCTCCATTCCGAAAAATAGATGGCACTGGTACACGATGTTCCACCAAACTGATGCACAAGAAGACCAAAAAAAAGGAAGAAGAAAAAAGTGCATTCTATGTTCGTCTCTCTTCCTGAGTGGATTGGCCAGAACACGTCCACGCTTTTTGTTGCCTCCTCCTCGCAGTACCGGATCAGGAAGCTCCGCGTGGAGTAGGTGTACCTCGGAACACGAAGCGCCGGAAGCACATCTAGGCCCTGCAGTAGAGAGGTTAGAATAAGGGTACGCATTTTTTTCTGTTGCCTATTTTAGTAGGGGAACCCTCCCCAAAAAAAAGGTAAAAGGGCACGACTGGGTGACATAGACATAAAAAAGGGATCGATGGGTCAACATATCAAGGGAGACGTCAGATGGTCCCACATGTTTACCCAGCTCGGAGGTGCATGTTGAAGGAGTTTTGGGAGGGGTCCCGCATGTTGACAAGCTTGCATGTTGAAGGAGTTGCTTGAAGGGAGGGCCGTTGGGAGGGAGGGCAACAAACCCAAATCCCTCTTGGAACCCTGACCGAGCTTCCAACGCAGAAAAGAGTGGGGGCGGTGAAAGCATGCAGTGCTGAGGATGGACGAAATCCTGCACCACCTAAGATTCCCGGGTTTCTGATGACTCCCGGTAAGTACCAACCAGCAATGGTTGCCCATGGTTTCAAAGTGCAAGATTTCATGCATCCACACTATTGTCTGTCTTTGTCCCTTAAGGAAAACAAGAATGGTATCAAGGTTGAACGTTGCCCTTTGGGGATTTGTATCACTGCGGTCGTACAACCCTCGTGACTTCCCTGCAAACTAACATGGACTCCCCAAAACCGCATGTCTTTTTTGAACGGAGTCGTGTTTTGGGTGGGTGCGGAACCAAGCGTTGGAAGCCCCTTTGACAGATTGGAAAGGCAGAGCACCGGGGCCTTGTCCCACCCCAAAATCTGTCTGCAAACGCCGACATGAAACCACGTGCACGTGGCCAAGGTTAAGTTCCAAGAGGGGGCCAAGGGTTGACCTTCCGCACCGGAATTTCCCAGCCCGCTTGACCCAAGCAAGAGCATGAACGGCCGCTTCTTGCATGTCTTCACAAACCACACCCAGCCAACTTCATCCACTCAATGAAACTCAGTAACCTCCCTCACAAATGACCTTCGCGTGCTCTCTGAAAATGTGGCCCCTAAAACGGCCCAGTTGTCCTTTGGATTTCCCGTTGATCATTGGACGCTGCTTTTTCTGACGCACTTTCCATCTTCTTTCCTTGGACCCATACGTCCTCCTTGCCCGGTTTTTGGTGAACACCCATCTCTTTTCATTCAACGTTTTATGTGCCCTTTAGATGACGGCCAAGAATGGACTGTGGCTGTGGTTTTGTCCCAGAATGGGTGACCCCCTAAAAGCGGCTGGGTTCCTGTTGGTCTTCATTTAGGCCCCACCTTAAAGCAGGTGTCCTGCTCAATTTCCTTCAGAAACCCACCAAAATCGGACCCTTCAAAAAAAAGAGAGTTGGCTCGCCTTAGGTCTTCCACAAGGGACGTCCTCCCAAAAAATAAGAAGGGTGGGCACAGCCTTCACGTCTTATGCCTTCCGAGGCACATCTCCTCGTTGAGATGGGCGGGGATGAGGTTGTGGTGGTCCACCCGCGGGGCTTTGCCCTTCACGGGCTCCACCAACGTCGGGCCCTAGCTCAGTTTCGAGGCTCAAGTCTCATGGGAATTTTTGGGAAACTCCTCCGGACTCCCATGTTTATATGGCCATGGGTCACAATCTCGTACCCCCCATCCCAATCCCCACTAAAATAGGTTCTAAAATGGGTGGTGAATTCACCTACCAACCAAAATGGGATCCCCTTGGTTTTGACCCACAGCCGTATTTCTATTCCATCTCCGCAGCCTTGTGAAACCTATATTCCTTGTGGATCCTTGTGGAAGGGTGTCCTGAGACTTCATCTTGGTTCCAGAAAAAACCACAAGCAAGACCTGTAAAAAAGGTCCGTGTTTTCCCCCTGATCTCGGGTCTTCATAAGGCGCAAGTTGGGGGGGGTCTTGGAGAAATGCGCCCGAAAACTGCACCCTGGATTGCATATTTGGAGATGTGGAAAGAAGGGGAGATCAACCTTCTGAACAAGCGAGCCCTGGTCCCCAGGGTGTCAACCATGTTCTCAAAACAGGTGTCCCTAAAAGTAGTCTGCGTCCTTTGGCTTCCTCTTGCCAGCCAAAAGGAAGTTCACCATGTCGAGAGATTTTGGGACTCATGGGCCGTAGGAAAATCTGGACATCCCCGCCTTGAGGTAGCCATAGGGCACCGCCAGGCCCCGACTCTCGTCCTCCCGGTAGATCCGGGTCTTCAGGTGGTAAAGGCCTCCCATCGCGCGAGAAGTTTGGGCGCGCATTGGGAGATTTGGGGCGTTTCTAGGTTTGGCCTGGTGGGGTTTGTCGCGGTTTGGGGCATCGGCCGGTTGGGATTGGCCGGGTAGGTTTGGAAAGAGTGGAAAAACCACCCCGTGCCTCTTTTTTTTGGAGGGGGCTGGCTCTTGGATGATTTATGTCAAAAGCAGGATTGGTTTGAACAGGAAACCCAGTCCGTTGCAAAAGAAAATCACGCGCCGATCCCAAAAACCGAAAAGAGACACCGATCCCAAAAGAACATGACTTACCAATGAGCAGGTCTTGGGTTCCATGCCAATCTCTAGCCCCCAAGAAGGGCACCGAGGCATATAGGCCATGGGCTTTTCAAAATCCAAAATCCCGCACCCCCGGTGAACATCGTCCCACTAAATGGACTAAAATGGGTAGTGCCCCTGCCCCAAAATCGTAATAAACATCCCAATCCCACTAAAAATGGACTAACATGGGTGGTGCATTCACCTACCCCAAATGGGATCCCATTGGTTTTGACAGCCATACCGGCCAACTGGATGTGTCTACATCGGCCTGCTTTTGTTGTCCTTTAAACTGCATACCAACAAGGCGGGTATTCCGCCCAAAGAAGGCCCTACGTCAGAACCCGTTGACTGGCACTACCAAGGATGTTTCAACTGTGGCACCACGTGTTGGGAACTGAAGCGGCAGCGGAAAAACTTACGATTTGCACATAGTCCTGAAAACACCATGTGGCATTCCCTTTGGATATGTTCCAAAGGTTTGGAAATTGGAGCTGCAGAGCAAGAATACCTCTCAAAATTGCGGGCCTGGCTTCGTGCGTGCCATGGTCAAGACTCATGTTTCATTGCGCCCAATAGGCTTAACCATGGCACATCTAGGTTCCTCCTACACCCAAAAAGAGGAGGTGATCTCCCTGTTCCCTGTCGAGGCCCAAAGAGGGAAAACCAGATTAAGCCCTATTCCCCAAGTAAAATCATCTGCTTGGGACAAAGTGTTCGACATGTGTTTCAACACCCGTCGTGTTGACATCCTCACTCTCACTTAGGTCAAGGGGTGTTCATGTCAGGATGTCGTTGGATCCACCACTCTTGCCCATCCACTGCGACGGGAAACCACAAGGTTGGCTCAAACACTTCGGTGGATCTGAGCTTGAGCTCCATGGTTTTCAACCCAGCGCCAACCTTGGCTCCCAACAAATCCCAGGCCCCAAGCCCCGAGTCCCAAGCTCCTTCCGGACCCCCAAGGCCCGCCATCCCGCGCCGCCGCGCATCTCGCGCCGCGCCTTGGTGGAAGAGGTCGATGTTCCGAAAGCTCTCGAACTGCAAGGCGATCTCCACCACGGTGCACAGCGACATGGCGGAAACGCGGAACCGCCAGGCGCGCCCGCGCCGGGCGCGGGGGATCTGGGGTAGAGGCACAAGGTGAGGCTTGGATGGTTGGAAACGTCAGGTAAATTGGTTACCCTCACCATGAAGTCTGACAGATTGGATGATCTGGGTGTGAAACCTTAGCAATGAACCCTTTATGTAGTGGACATCAGAATTCGGTGTGATGAGCCACTATTTTTTTTTCAGAATTCACGGCCGTACGTTTCGAGGGGGCTTGAATCCAAGTGGCCTTCTGCTTGCGTTTTGTTTCCGCTGCAAGGAGAATCCCTGGATCCGACCGACTTCTTTGCACTGAGCCGAAGCCTTCGGCAACCCAAAAGCACCCGAAGGAAGAGTTCGGTTTGCTGGTGGCTGGAGTTACCCTTCCAAAGTTAATCAGTTTGCTGGTGGTTCCACTGAAACGGAAATGGCTCGGAAGCTCTGTTTTGCCCCACTTCTAAGCCCAAACCACCGAAACATTGCGGGTGCTAAAATCGTCGGAGGCGGAACAACTGGAGCCGTTCTGGGGCTTGAGAATCCCGCCGCGCGGCGCGGTGCAAATGCGTGTGGCACCAGGTGGACCACAGCATGTCTCAAACAGCCCCCCCCCCTTCGGCATCGTTTCAGCTTCCCCCTTCATGGCGGCTTGGATCCAAATCGGGGGTTTGGTGGGCTTTTGGGGTGGTGTCCCATCTACCCTCTACAAGGGTTGGCTGACAGTTTGCTACAACCGGCACACCCGCCACTTCCAAGTTTGAGAAACACCCAAGCCAGTGGCTCGCGGAGCAACCGCCGAACCAGGAAAATGTTTGCCGAACCCGAAAAATGTTTGACAGGTTCGATTCAATCGATCCCGACCAGATAGCTAGTGGATATATGCGCAAGCTGTTGCTTTACAATGACACTTGAGTCATTGTCAAGACCCAAAAACAAATGGAACTGGTGGTTATTCTCAGGGGCCCAAGTCCAACACCCCGCCATCAGAAGAGTTCTGAATGTCCAAAACGGCTGGCTCAGGACTCCCGGGCTGAGGCTTGTGAGCGTGGCTCACTGTGGACTGGCCTTTCCACAGAGGGTCCGTCCCCCAGTTTCCTCGCAGCCCCCGTGCAGGCCCCAATAAGGATGGCAGGGGAAAACCATTTGGGCATGAATGTCAATTGGGGAGCCTTTGGTGGACCTCAAATAGAGGAGATTTATGTCCACCAACCACTGTTATGGGGGCTCCCAATTGAAAGTCATCGCCATTTGTTTGCCAGCCCCAAGTGAGACGCCGGTCCGCCATGTCCATGACCTGCTTCTTCACCTGCCAACATTGAACGGGCCGCATCAAACCGGTGGCTCGTTTTTTTGAGGCTAGCCTTCTTGTGGGTGTTAAATTAAAGGGCCACAAAAGGGAAGCCACAAATTTTGAGGGTCCCCTATTTTGAGACAAACCCTTCTCGGTGTGCTCGGATTTTTTGAAAGGCAAAGGGCACCCTTTGTTTAAGCGTTGCTTTAAAGGGAAACCGAACGGAAAGCCACCATTTTGGGGGTCCCCTATGAGACATGCCCATTTGCACAAAACCCACTCGTGGTAAAGTTGATTTGGCGCACACAGTCGAGAAATATAATTGGTAGAAGGGGCCCCACTTGCAAGGAAACCGGATGGAAACCACCTACAACCCGGTCGGAAGTTTTTGAAGGGAACCAAAAGGAAACAAGTAGCTGTTCAGTTCCAAATACGTATTTTGAGAGGCGCACAAACGCTGCACTGAGATTGGTTGCTTCAGCTCTTCCAAAACTACCTGGTATATATATATATATATATATCTATCTCTCTCTCTATAAAAAGAAGAAGAAAAAAGTGGGGACCCCCTCCAATACATGATTTTCACCAGTCAGCTCCACATGACTGGATGAATGGGACTTCTGAGCGAATTCAGGGAGAAGGTGGCTGCTTCTTCCAAATTGGGCCTGTCGTTTTTTGAGGGCGCCCCCTTTCTGGCGGTTTTGCAGGAACCAAAAGGACAAAGAAGCCAGCCACCCAACTACTCAAAGGGCTTGTGTTAGGTGCTCTGCCAGTAGGCCGCTTTCAAGCTCTCTTTGAGTTCTTGGGCTGCATTCCAGCCACCAAGCTTTGGTTCTAGTAAAGGACAATTGGTGGGTGAAAGTGCCAACCTGTCGCGGGTTGAGGCACTGGTGAGGCCACCGCCCCTGGACGCAGCGGGGGAAGGCCACGCGCAGGTCATCACGTGTGCCAGCAGGACCAGCGCAGCGCCCACGCGGCACACGCACAGGCGCACAGGTTCCTGCCAACAAGGGCCAAAGCCAGGCACACAGGATACCTTGATAGTAAATGACAGTTACCACGGAAAAAAACAGACCCAGAAGGGGCAGGGAGCAAGCCACACAGACCACGCAGGACGCAGACCATCGGGGCAGGCAGGCCGGCGAGGTTCAGCCGGCAAGCGCGACGGGCGACGCTCAGCTGATCAAGAGCCAAGGCATGCATGCAACCAGATTTGGAAGTGACACATGCTCCGCCGCAAGTGAAGCACAAAGTGGGGCGAACTGGAGCAGTCCTCGAAGAAGTGTCGCGCGGAGGCCCAGGGGGCACGGCACCAAGGGCAAGCGGAACGCAGCGCATCGGCAAAGCGGCGTGTGGGTGTCCAGCACGCGCCGGAGCGAAAGACACCGAGGAGCGAAGCGTCACGGTTGCCGAGCGCAGCAACCCAACGCTTCCACACGGGGTGGCAGGAGGCCTCAACGTCAACCTGCCCAAGGCCATCAACATCCCGCCGGCCACGGCTGACCTCGCCAAGGGAGACGAGGCGAGCCGCCTGCCGAGCGCAGTGGAGACCGGGCGGCGTGTCAGCCCGGAAGCGCAGGCTACCATCCGCAAGCGAAACAGGACCGCATCGAGTCTCAACCAGGTGCCGCAGACGGGCATCAGCGCCCCGCGGGAGAGACACCTGCAACCCAGCAGCAACAGTCAGCAACTCAAAGACAAAGCCAAGCAGGGGCGAGCACAAGTTGAAGCACGCTTCACACAATGGACGGCAGCCCCCAGAACAGGATGTAGCTGGACACGCTGAGCCCACCAGCGACCAGGGCACCACCAGCTACAGTCGGTGGCAAGCACAGCGCGAAAGAGCCGAGGAGCCAAAGCCGGTGGGGCAGGGTGCAGCTCAGCGGAAGTATGGCAGGACGAAGGCGCTGGCGAGATGCTCGCGCACGCTGGCAGGGCCCGGAATTGTAGCCAGCCGGGCGATGACCTCACTGGCGCCCGCACAAGGGTCACGCGGACAGATGGGGAAAGAGGGGTCATCAGGCTTGAGACGCAAACCCAGGTGCTCAACCAGCAGTGCCCTCGCCAGCAACCCAAACCTGCCTTTTGGCGGCGTTCTCCTGTAGACCCACCGCAGCGTCGAAGGCGGCGGTGGCCTCGAGCCCGTGCTGCGGTCGTCCATGTAAGCCCAACGCCCGGACCCCCCCCGGGAAGGGCGCCCAAGGAGCAAGCACAAAGCCGAGTGGCAGGCGACAAGGGCCTTGCGGGATGCCCGACAAGGACGAATCGGGGGGGCAAGCGCGCCGTGAACACAACAGTGACGGGGCGCGGCCCAAGCCTGACGGACAAGGTGGCACACAGCCGGGTGGACTCCGTGGTGAAGAGGGCGGCCTCAGCAACTGTGTAATCAACCGTGTCGAAGGCCTTGCTCAAGTCGAGCTCAGCGCCAGCGCGCGTAGGACGGGCCAGCCAATCAGCGGTAGCAGAGACCACAGACCCCCCTTTCCGGCCACACCACTGCCCAGCAGGAGGGGCAGGCCAGCAAGACAGCAAGGCCTTGTGCCACGAACGGACAAGGACGCAACGGAAATGGGGCGACTGTCGTACGGAGTCTTCTTACTCACACCAACAGACTTCCAAGCCCACAGCCAATCAACCAGGTCCGCCGGGGCAGCAAGCGTTGTGGCACCAGAGAGCGTGCAGCTCCTCAAGAAGAGAAGGCGCGCGCAGAGCCAAAGTTTTCAACTCCGAAGCAGTCCAACCATCAAGACCAGGAGATCCGGACAAGGAACGGACAGCAGCCCGGAACGCGTCTAGGGAAGGTAGAGAAGGGACCTCGCACGGTGCAGGCGGCGGGCCGGCGCCAAAAGCCAAGGCGCGCCACGCGTCACTTGGAGAAAAGAAAAGAAGCCCAAACAACAAGACTTCAAGCCAACAATCGAATCGCGGCTCGCGGTTTCGTTTTACAGGGCTCCTGTCTCAAGGCCAGCTGCTTACTTGGATCTGCATTTTTCTGGCAAAGGTCATTCTGTGACTGGCCCAAATGTGCTCTTCAAGGACAGGGGTCACTGGATTTGCTCCGGGAAAAGTTGCAAGAGTGCTGAGTTCCAGTGAAACTGCCCAAAGTGGACTAACTCCTTAATTGGGACAGGGAGAAGGAATAGAGAGATAGAGATGTGATAAGAGACCATGAGATTTAGCCGGAAGGCGGTGGTAAGCTGTAGGTCCCTTCCTTACCTTCTCTCACCATTCAATCTTGGATAAAGACAGACAGTGAATGGTGAGGAGAGAAGGACGTGCCGGTTGACCCTCTGTCTTGGACGGACAGCTGTCACCGAAGGAACCGAAAGGCGCTGGAGGTGAGGGATAGTGAAGAGAGGAGTGAATGGTAAAGAGGTGACCAATGCCTGACCCTTCATCACAGCCTGTGTCCTGTCCATTGGTGGCTCCAGACGCGACAAAGGAAATAGACGGCTGGGAGCCACTTCCCTAAGATTCAGAGTCTCTACAGCAGACGGAGGTAGCGGGTGAAAATTGAGGGACATGGTTGGTTTCCTGTGATGTCCCTTTCAAACAAAACACCCCCAAACCATTCTCTTGGGGGAAGTGGTTTTGGGGCAGTGGACAAAAGGTCTTAAGGCTTCCCGAGAAACAGGCCGCCTTCATATGGGCAGGTGTTACAACCTGGGCCTTCAGGCTTGTGGGATCAGGGGCTGAATCCTCTACTTCTCACTTCTGTGATTCAAGGGAATCGCCCCCTTTACAGGGGGGTTAGTCGCT